TGTGAACAATTTTGGGGGTCTTTAGGATTTGGCTCCATGAGAAACTATGCTCTCTCTCGCTCATCCAAAAAATTTTGGAGACAGTTACGCATTAACACAAAAGTTTACCTCATGTATACACACATTGTTGATTGCATATGTTTTGTAAAGCTGAGTAGTCTGTAGTTTCCATCTCACTTCGTGATACTGTCAGATAAGAAAACGCAGACTCGCGGAGTGGGAGCTGGAAAGGGGCGTGGCTGTACTACCCAGCCGTACTGTATCGCCGCAGCGAGGTACAGCACTCACACGCTTCAGTCTCTCGGCAACCGTCGGCGCAGCGGAATGTCCACGCGTTCGGAGCTCCGTGGAGAGCTCTATTCGGTTAAGCTATTTTTTTTAGTAGTGGTGTTCACTATAGGGTTCTCGATTCTCTCTCAGTGGGGTTTACTGTTGTGACGTGGGTGTGAAGTGGAAATTAGGTTTACTTCCAACTCTTCTGTGGGAAACAGGATACATGTGCAGCAAACTAGGTGAGCCTTGCATACTCTTGTACTTTGTTAGGGTTGACATCCTATGTTTTTTTAATAAATTGCGCACATTGCATGCACTAAGAGATTAGTCATGTAAGTACTGGGGTATTTGGGAAAAACTAAAATTTGTACAAATCGTTTTTATTTTTGTCTGACTTCAGGAAATGTAAAAAACTAATGGCACTACATGATAGTGCTTTTAAATGTGCCCGAAGTGCACAACATTTAAAGAATACGACCCTGTATCTAGTAGCATTTTTTCTACGACTTCAACGATGTATCACGTTACATTTGTTTTTTTTTTAAGTTACAAGCAAACGTTTTATTCAATGTTTTCATTTTTTTATTTCAAGTAGGCGTTGCAAACAAATGCTTGATGTAAGATTGTGTGACTACTGAATTCAACCTAGTCTGACCCTTATCTTGGCCACCCTGTAATACAATATTATAAAAAAAAATTTACAGAAACGTGCACTAATCTAACTATTAGCAAAGCCTCGAATAAAATACTATTTTTAGTCCAAGGAATTTCTGATAGTCTATAATTGACAGTATCGTGCTTTGACACTAAGCCCTTTTCACTATGTTTACCAAATATGGTGCAAAAAGTCAAGCATTAATTTTCTGGCATTTCCAAACCTGGAATCTCAACTCCGTGTTTAGGAAACTACAATTTCTTGCCTTGGTTGTTGGAGGATACGTGGGAACCGAATGTCCAAAAAGAGTATGGATGTGATGCGTTCAAAATGCGTCTGCCTGTAATTCCACATGATCGACGAGTTATAAGACGGATACTGATAAATAGCAGAGTAAAATCAAAATCGTACCTCTCCTATTAATGATCATATAATTTTAGATCAAATAGTTAATAAATATATTTATATAATAAAACATTGTTTTTTTCAATTGCTGGAAGAAGTCCCGTATTCAAAAAGTATTTTATCCTATAAAACTGGGCATTTAAAAAATGTTCAGAGACATTAAAGTTCCGCGGCATACACGCCTGGCGACGCAATATGTAAATAACAGCTCTGTTTAGTTTTTTGGCAAACATTGCTACGCCTCAAATTTTATATGTCTTCATTGGTATTCCTCAATATTTTATTCAAAACTACATTCTATCAAAATAGCAGAGGTAGCAAAATCTTCCGATGAGCTGGCAATGCCGCAATCCAGGTAGCAAGAATGACAAGGTTATCTGTCAAGACGCATATCTATCCCGGGGTACCGACGGAGTCATTTAGAACGTCAAAGCTGCAATTTTCATTTGCATTTTACCAAGTGTTGTGCAACGAAAAATTTCGCTACGGACAGTCTTCTAGAGTCTAGTAAAATACATTTCAACAGTTGTCTTGCGTGGCCATGTTATCTTTACTCGGACCGGATCCGTGCAAAATCGTCTAATTTTCTCGCGAGACCCGCGTTCAAAACAAATATAGCTAAAACAGCCGGCCAGTTCACTTATTATTCTGTGTTAATTAGTCTACAGAAAGATAAAATTGTTACTTAGCAGTTGACAATTTTAATAGTTAAAGATGGAATAAAATACCCTTAAAACACTTAACTATCTTATTTATTCCCCCAAAAAATCCTCCAGAACATTTTATCCTCAAAAAATTCCCCAACGGGCGTAAAAATCCCTCAAATTTGGGGGAAAATCTCCCAATATACCTCCAGCCCAGCGTCATCTACTTCTAGGTTACTCCTTAAAAATTTGCATCATTAAAGTGCCAAAAAGCGATCGAGAAGGTTCTATCCCCGTCTATGTGTTCTGTCTCATAAATGGTGCTAGAATCTTTCAAATGACTTTGGGTGCCGGAATGCAGTATATGGTTGGCTACCTTCAGGTAGAACACGTTAATTAATGGTCAAGTTAAAAAAAATAAAATAGTGAGTGTTCGTATACACACTCATCTAACAAGAGTCCCCTTGCATTTGATTTCATCAGCGTCATCTTCTATTCAGTCAGTGTACTATGTCGGTAGATATGATCTACCACTTAATATGAGAGGAAAATAGGCGGGGTTTAATGGCCATGTGATTAAGTATTTCTTTAAGTCTGAATTCCAATCGCAAGCACCTGTCAAAAATGGCGTAACCACTTCACTTTTATGTACTTTACTGCCTTCCTGACAGTAACAGTCAATTTTGTGAGTGACAGAGATTAAATGTGGTGATCAGGGTGGTGAAACTCATATGAGCGAATGGGAAACAAAGCACTGTTGCGGGTGCACAATCTTACAAGACAATGTCGCACCCTCAAAAAATGGCGGCTTATTCACAACTGACGTTGTCTGATTGGTCAGATTTAAATTTCCGGCGGGTTTCATCCTGTGGCTGCGCTTTGCAAAAATTACCTTACTTTTTCCGCAAGCCATTTTCGTTGAGCGTAACATAAACATTTCATTTTGATTGAATAAAGTCCCTATCCCTATTATGTTATTTGAGACATATGCCTTTTGTTCAGAGTTCTGAAGTATAAAAATGTAAGTACCCAAAGCTGTAATATATTTGTAAATACTATAAGACAAACTTCAAATCAACACTGTTTCTTTTTCAATGTATTCCAAAGTGATCAGTCGGTATCCAGGCTTCTGCAGATGTTGCTGGAATCTCCACATAACTTTTTGAACAGTGGAGCACTACGAAAAGTTCAGCCGCCGGTGTCATCCCCTGAGGTCGTGAGAATTATAAGAAGTTCGGAAGTTACTTGTGATCTAACCAGAAGGCACAGCTCTGAAGGAATTTGCAGGCCATAAGATTTGTAAGTTTTTATATGACTCAATATCCAGTGATCATTATACTGCTTTTTGTCCAAAATAGTTTCTATACTTCATTTTAAATCGTCTATTCACCAGCAGAGTTGATATGGAAAGCTCAGTATAATTTCAATGAAATCGAAGCCATATATTATTGAACAATAACATGGGTGCCCACAGGGAGGTGTCGTCAGATGGGCCGTGGTTTCTTCTGTGACCACTTTGACTTTGAAATTTGCATATTTAGCAAGGTTTTGTGTACAACTTTGAGAATTTTTTAGAAGTTGCCCCCCCCCCTCTCTGAGAAAATTACTACTTCTGCTCATCAAAAAATTTTGGGGGCAGGTACAATTTCACAAAAAGTTATGTCTTGATGATGATTAACACCCCTGAGAAAAATTCCTGTCGGTATCCATTGACAATAATATTATTCTTCTAATAAGAAAAAAACATCTGAATTGTAGTAACATATCAACACAGTTCAACTTTTCCCTAATTTTTGATTTATGCAGGGGCCAACAAAGGCTGCGGACTGAAAACATCTGTACCATAATAATGTTAATACAGATTTGTTTGTAGGAAAATGTATGAGATTTATATAATAAATATATATTTAGATATTTGCAGCATATGCTTTTCTTCTGAACCTTTCCAGATTAGTAAGTAGATATGAGTGATCTTATAACAGCTTGTGTTATTGACATTGCTAATTTAATACAAAAAAGCACTTATTCGTTAATTTAGCGCGAAATGTTAATAACACATGCTACTATTCGTTATTATTCGCCAGAGCGGTCCGGTGGAACAGATGCTGTTATAAGATATCCCATATCCCACCAAATTTCTATATATATATATATATATATACAGGGTGACTTTGAAGTTGAGTCATTAATTTTCAGATAATGATTCTAGAAGGAAGATAAACCAAAATATGTGTGTAAAAATACAAAAAAAAATTTAAAAAAATGTTACCTTGTTTTATAAAGTATCCCGACAAGTATTTCAGTGCGGACCTGTATTTGATCGTGCGGTCTTGGAGCACCGGCATGCCCTCCCCTGTGAGGTCTTAAGTCACCTGATTCACGAGCCCTTTGTACTACATTAACAAAGGCACGAGAGGTTGGTTGCACTCGATTGGGAAACCGATCCGCATAAATCCGTGATGCCGCGTAAATAAGAATAATGTCCACAAGTTCAGCATTTTCGTAAACATGTGCCATCTTTGATTTCGTTTGAGCCACGCAACAGACACCACTATTCACTCACGCGTTACCGACTGACACTGACTGTATACAACTGAATAAAATAATTGTAAAAACATCATTCCAAATTCTATCGCTTTTTTGTTTCCGATGCGATGAACCGATAAGGCGGATTATATCCGTTGTTGCCAAACACGAGCACATAATATTATTATTGAGACAGGGTGGTACTCAAACTTGCAAAGGGCTATAACTTTGTTACTTTAATTTTACCAGAAAAATGGTAAAGGTATAAACATTTCGAAGTCACCCTGTATATATATATATATATATATATATATATATATATATATATATATATAAGTATAGCAATCTTAGATTTACTTGTAGAGCTGGCAATGTTCCGGGGTACTAATGCACAATCTGGCAACCAGGTCGCACCCTCAAAAAATGGCCACTGACAACCACACAAGTCACCGTGTTGCCATTTAATAGCATGGAATTAAACCTTCTTCAGTGTATACGTTTTGTGGTGGTGATAACCAAACGACAGTTGCGAGATTACCAAAACACGTCAAAAGTCACCGTCCCCGAAATTTGTTTTAGTTTTTATTTTTATTCAATTGGAGAATCCAGTGTGATTCAAGTATCAAGTATTGTACCCGATTCTACTGTGTACCAGAACAATTCGTTTAGTCCTTTAAAAAAATATATAACCGTCTGAGGACAAAACTAAAAAACTTAGGAGGAATCCTGCAGTTGAAGAAATTTACCGTGATAGATAAACACGAGGATGGTGGACTACAGCAAGTGGAAAAACATTGAGGTACACCTCAGCTTTTTCTTCGCATATTTCGGGCTGTTGTGACTAAAATGCTTACTTTGTTGTCCAAAAAACTGTGGCTTGACTTTTATTTTAAACTATCTGTTATTAATTAGGAAGTTCATTTCCCCATATAACATACTCTCTCTGTACAAGGCCCAGAAAAAAACTAACTTGGAGTACTGCTCACATGTCGGGGAGCATGGCCCTTCCAACTGCACTGCCCATATTTGATCCCATTCAGAGGAGGGCTGACTGGGTTACTCTTGTTTTCTTGACAAGAAAAACAATACTTTATATTTAAGTTTCATTCCTATTCTCTGAACAATGTATCATATACTTTATTTATTAGCTTCATCAAGCTCAAACTATGATGGAACACTGGAAAATCAATTTTTTTTTATTGTGCTTTCCAGATTTGTGACAATAGTTAACACATTGTCTTTTTGTAGCCATTGTTATGATCAAGTAAAAGGACATGTACCTTCTTTTATTGAATAACTAAAATTATATCACAAAAAACCAATGTTTAGCTACATACATTTTCTCATACTAGTTAATAAAAATAATTATTGTTGTGATGATTCAAGTCTAAACAAAATCAAATTTTCCAAGAGCTATGCTATAAAAGTTGTCGCATAGCAATAGTAATTCACTTATTTGATTGTATGGTCCTAATGCTTATGTTGGCATTATTTTGAACTGGGGCAGGCAAACTTCAAATATGTTTGTTCTATATTGTTGGTTAATTTACATGATTTATAACAAATCCTGCCCAACTTATACATGCTATAAGTAAAAGTAAATATAAAGGAAGGTTTGGTATGGTATGCTTGACTAAACCTGAGAAATTCACAAGCCAGGTTCACAAAAACACTATGTTCATAGTCTTAGATAAGGTAGGGTTACTAGACCCAAAAACTAAAGCTGGTGTTACCAAAGTCAATTAATAAAATTTACTCATTTTCCAAGCCACTAAATAATGAGCCATAGCCATGACACAGAAAATAAATCACAACCTTCTCAGCATAGTATTAATCAACGAAATATTTTAAAAATGAATAAACAAAAGTCTTATTCAGACCACCGACTATATATCGTCGGTGATTCAGACCATCCAAAAATCTACAAAATGTGAAATCATACCCATAAATGAGATACTCTTAGCATGCAGTATGATACAAATCTCACAGGCCACCACGCATGACCTTTCTGCGTGTTTGATTTCATTTACATTTTACCAAAGTTACTGTGGTAATTGTGTTTATAATTTATTTAAAAAATAGACTGATATTTTTATTTATATTTTTTATATTGCATACTACTTTCAGAAGTAGATTACAGATAGGAATTTTACCTGACTCATACCATTTTTCAAAAATAACAATGACTGACTAACCAATGACACTCCATTAATAGTGTCAAGCCGCACCAAAACAGGTGATCGCCGATATGACTGTTTTCTACTTATATGATGAGGTTCAAATTTGGCTGACATTGTAATGTGTATGAGAGAGAAGCACATCTGTAATCTCATACTCGGGTTGCAAGGCCACAGTGTGATTCTAAAACTCATTTTGCATACTTCTCGCTTTTCTCTCTTGTACACAGCACATTAGTGGTATTTGGTTTTCTGTGTTTGACACCAGAATTTGTTCCTCTATGATTCCACTTTGAATCAGGCTTTGATTTGCTATGCTGAGATCTGTTCATTAAGAACTAGTTGGATGATCACTCTTTGGTTCTTAGAATTGAATAATTGTGAAATAAGCTGCCTCAGGTTTCTTTCAATACCACGAACCATAGGCAGCTTAAATACTCACTTTGCCTTGCTGCTTAGGTTTACTCCTTTGTGACTGATTCAGTAAAAAAATATTTATTCATACTCAATTGCAAACTACGAGGTCCGTAAATTAAGTGATGAGACTGATTTTTTTTTATTCAAATATCATTACAATTTTATATTGTCACCCTCAAAATAACTTCCTCCTGAAGCCTCCTTCTGAAGACGGTTCTTCCACTCCTCATAGCAGTGCTAGTACCTTGATACTAGAATAGCCTTTACCTGATCAGTTACAACCATTTGAATGTTTTAGACTGTCAGAAAATGAGTTGAGCTGATTTTTCAACTTCCACAGGCATGTTTTTACTGGCCAAAATCTTGACATTGCTGTGTGGCAAGGAGCATTATTGTGATGCAGCACCCAGTAGTTCTTCATCTGATAAACAGGGGTGTAAGTCAGATTTAACTCTTCCCCGATCATTCTGACTGTCGACCAAGGATTGGAATGCACAGGATCCCAGATTGTGTCAATATATTCATTGGTTCTTGAAGAACCTCCGAAAAACCTGGGCTTTTGACAAAACACTATCTCCATAGATCACTGTGCCTATGTGTGAAGCAAAATCTGATAGCACACAGACTGTTGCTCGGAATTGAAATCACTCATTATTAGAACACAATAGAAAAAACTATTTGACAAAAAAAAAACGGTACGGACCACCAAGGTGGATCACATGTTCCCGTGTCTCCCCTCCAAGCCCGTCGCCTCCAGTGTTGCCAGATCGAACGCTACGATTCCAGTCTCATCACTTCATTTACAGACCCAATTGTAAACTATTCATTGTATTTAAGGAACTTTCAATTTTTCAGATATCAGATGATGAAGATGAGACACATCCAAATATTGACACACCATCATTATTCCGTTGGAGACACCAGGCCAGAATTGAGCGGATGGAAGAGTGGAAAAAGCAACTGGAAGAACATGAGAAGAAGAAAACAGCACACGTCAAAAAAGAAAATGAAGTAAAAGCTAAAATATCGGAAGCAGAAAAAGCAGGCTCCAGTGACTTAGAAGTTTTAAAACTACAGCTGATTGAACTTGAGAAAAAGTGGAAAGAGCTGGAAGCAGAGGAAGAAGAGATCAAAAAGAAAGAAAAGGTATCTTATTTCAAGTACCTCATGCATGCATAGTCATTAAAAAGTAGGATAGCCCCCCTTGAATTTGAATTTAGCTGGAAAAATAAAAAAGTATGCCTTGATTAACATAAGTGGGATATATTTTAACCATGTAAGATAGGATGTATATGTTATGACCATATTGTAAAATTGCCCATAGTATGAAATTATCCAGCATTTTATGAAATGGCCAACTAAAATTGACCATATTGTAAAATAGGGTGGCCATAAAACCAAAAATAGTGCATAGTACTCAAGTTACTTTCTGTCACAAAGGCTTTGTTCCTCATTTTTATGGCTGCCATGTTGACACATAAACAAAGTGTTCCCAGTTATTCTATATGTAATTACCTAATGTTAATTAATGCACTTACTTTAGGATTTGATCAAATAAGTTTGACCACTCCATGAAATGAAGTAGCCGCGCGTTTAGTGCATCATATCGATAAATGATTTGTTGTCAAAGCACATGATTTGAATATTAATGCATAACATGAAATGTGACAATATCATCAAATCCTCAATCATTTTATGAAATGGGCAATTTTGTGCTGTGGCCCTGGTATGTACATTTGTAACAAGCTTTTACTCATTCCACAAATAAGATAAAAAATTTATAACGCGAGAAATATATCTACATTAGTGTCTTTTTGGAAGAAGATGGTCACACATTTCAATTCTTACTACCTAAATTGCGATGGAATTAGTCCATTTTTTGGTTGTGGTTGGCAACATGACACATTTTGGAGCTAGAAAGCAATGGCTAGCATGACTATAAGCTTTAAAATTATTAATATCTTTGTATAGACAATAATTTAGTGCAGGATAATGTCAACTTAGCTGGAAGATTATGCAAATTTTACATATTACTTTCATCCTTCATTGATTATTCAATGCTTGTTATTTTGTTGGTTTTCTTAATATTTGGAGGTGTGATTTAATTCAGATTGTGTATTAAAAAATAAATCAAAAATGTTTATTTTTCATATTATAACCATGTTTTGTTGCTGCTTGTGTAACTTTGAAGATTATTGTCATAGAATACATATTTGTTTCACTATTTGTTACACATTAAATGCAGAGTGTGACTCATGTTTTACATTTATAATCTTGCAGTTTTAAGGATGGATATTTGAAACATAATTGTCACTTGATATCTCAAATTTGGATTCTATTTCAACCTCTCAGTGTTGTCCCATCATCAATTTGTATTTGTTGTTATTTCAATAGGTTAACATAGCAAATTTCAATGCACACTGATTTCCAATAATTTTTGCAAAAACTAAAAATATATTTAGTTCAGATACATTAATAATAATGATAATAATAAGCGACTTTATTTTATCCTCAGCAAGTTAATTGAAAATGTTAAGGCAGCTCACAATAAAATTAGAATGGTTATCATAGCATAAATATTCACAATAGGCTAGTTGACACTTTTTTAGTAGGTCTCAAATAGTTAATATTTATTTGTTTTATTAGACCAAAAAAATTGATACTATATTTTTTAAGACCTAAAAAACTGCAAAACTGTAATTTCAAAATAAGTTTTTCTTAGACAAGCGAATATGCACGTATATCCAGAGACGCATCTGTTGAAAACATTTCTCTTTCATTTTAAGAGAAAATCTATGATGTGTGAAATATGTCTATTAGATGCGTAGAATTATACTAACGTCAAAAAATTGAGGTATACCTTCCTCCATCGCTACAACCCACCCCCAATTTTTAACCTTCACAAAGTTTTTCTGAAAATGGTCGGGAGCCTATGAAATGTCAAAAAGAAAGTTTGAGCCACTGGCCTGTTTTCAATAACTACAAAGCTGTTTCACCCATGTCATAGTGGTAAATGTGTCAAAATTTCATCAAATTCCAAGTGGTGCTTTCCAAGTTATAGACGGACCAAGTATTAACGTACGTACCGACAGACAAACAGACCGACGGAAATAAGTGGGATGGCTTTTCGAGATGTACGTATCATACAACATCCAAAAAACATATCTCATTTGCGAAGTTTTTCGCGGTGACATTACTTCCTCACCAGGGGCGTGCGAAGTGAATACAAATTATTGATTTGTTAATGAATAATATAGATAGTCATAGAAAATACACATGTAATTCTGAAAATATATACTTTAATAGCATAAAATATACTCAAATACTGATAATATACAGGTATATACAAATACATTAAGCTTGCCGGTTGTCCTTTCAAGAGAACAGTCTCTCTCTTTTGCCTACTGAATAAGATCCAATTTTTTTATTTAAGGAGTAATGATTTTTCTGATTTCTCCGGAATTTTTAAGTACCGAGCTTATTTTGGTCAAGTCTAGTGAGATAAATGCTTTTTTCTTTATTGTTTAGCCAGAACTTGAGGCATAAAAATCATAAGCACAGTTAAATGAAGTCATTCACAGTACATTTTAAATTTAAGAAAAATGATACATAACAGAAAACTTAAAAAGGACACCCTTTATATATTTTTCTGAATCTTTAGTGGTTAATATCAATCGACTTTTATATTTGCTTATAGATGTACATATCAGAACTACTGAGTTACAAATAATACTGTTTTTTTTTTGTTTAATATAGTTAAATACGCACAGGTATATTACAATACAGATTCTACCGTTCGACAAACCAATAAATTTCATGCACCCGATATTTTTTAATAACATAGTCTATAGAATGATTAAATTTGTGAATTTAACTAATTTGAAGTCTAACTAGTTAACGAAACACGATTTAAAGTATGACATATTATTGTTATACTTCAGTAATAGGTGTGAATAGTGATTAAAATGTGGTATGTAATTATTACACATTTTTATACATGATATGATCTAGGCCACACACCACTTTACACCAAATGTTTTTCTTCCATGAAGAACAACACATCAAGGATTCTCTTTTTGTACTCATCTGCATTTATCTGGTCTATTGAGAATTGTTTGTAGAAGTCACCCCCCTCTTCTTCGTGGCCTATCTCACTTTTCTCAAACAGGCTCAGTTTGATTACCAGTAGTGCTGTGTACATTCCAATGATTGAACATTTCTGCCAGTGCAGCTCCAGCTGACTATATGGAAATATCTCGTCTGGATTACATGACATTTCGGTCAAATTCCTGGATAATTCGTCATGGTAGAGCTTCAGGTACTTTTTGTAATTATCAAGATCATTTTTTGAACTACAAGTGAGAAGAAAGTATGCAAGGTCAAGGACTGGTGTTGATAGTCTAACCATTTGCCAGTCAATGAGTGAAACAGTGAGTGGATTTTTAGAACTGTCATATTTGAACATCATGTTATTCGGATGGCAATCTGCATGGACCAAAACATGACTGTCTAGGTCAAACTTGAATATTTCTTCTATTTTCGGCATCTTTTCTTGTAACTTTACCATGATCCCTGACGCTCTTGCACTTCCTTTGGACGCGATAAAACCCGCTTGTAGGGCATTTTTAAAGAAGTCGGCATAAGCTTGCAAATTTTCATTATCTCGACATTTTAGCAAACCTTTGACGAGCTCCGCAAACTGCGCTGGTTCTTTATTCTTCATTGCAAATGATACTGAGTGTAACTTTGCATAACTTTTCATAACCAAACTTAGGTGCTCAGAGTTCATAGGTACCTTCCTGTTCCACAATCTATATTCACTTACGTTAAGGTTTTCCATAACTAAACAGTCCAATTCGTGCCTTCCGTAGTATTTTGGAACGTTCAAAGTTAGATTTTTCATGCCCGAATTACGAGTGAATTTTTCAAACACATCAAAAACAGTTTCATACATAAATATTTCCACTTTATACACTATTGCAGTCTCGAAATTTTGGAACCCAGTTGAGTGTCGTAACTTCACTGCTAAATCTAGCTGCTTTCTCCCATCCTTCATGGTTACTAGGACAATTCTGGATAAATATCCTTCTTGGTCCATCGTCTTAGTTTCCATTATGAAATTCTCCATGTTTTCCTTCTTTGCTATTTGGTTCAGCAGATGGATGTGTTCTGGTTTCAGTTGGACAGCCATTTTGGTTAGCTTGTAAACAGACCTAGATACACCGAAACACACTGCCAGCTGGTTATGGCACTAACAGTAAGAGTGATACTCTCGCCGCGACTGCCTGAAAAAAGAGAACGAACATAATTACATAATAGATGATCGTAATTATTCAACTGGCTGTTATAGACCAGTTAAGATAGTACTATCACTGACTAACATATTCCGCTAAAAAGTACCTAATCCAATTGAAAGCACTGCTTGTATTGTACGAAAATAAGTTTACGTAACGTAGTCGACCACCGTCTTTAGGTGTCAGCGTTGCGACCTGTCGGACTGTTGCCACAAATATATGATTTTCTTTTCTGCTGTGGAAAAATTCTCAAAATACGAAATCAGGAATAATCACGAGAAGTTGGAAGGGTGATCTTTCCTTAGCGGTTGATGTCATGCTTAACATTAAAAAATTGTTTTCAAAACGAAAATGTAGTGTAATTCTTCTAAGCTAATTACTACGTTTCCACTTATTTAATCTGCGCACTGTTTTTTAGTACGTAACGTAACTTCAACCCTTTGTGGGCTCATAAGTGGGAAGAATCTAGATTGGAGCTGTTTTTTTCTTTGTTCTTGAGCTGCATCTTCTGTATCTGTAGTCACATATTTGTATGCCAAAATTTCAAACATTTTTGCACACTCCATAAGCTCCGAATTGCTTTAGGATATAATTAAAAATATTTCAGTGTAAACAAAAAACTAAAATTGTCATTGTTCACATGCTTTGAAATTATTTTTTAAAGACTAGCAACAAGAAAATTGTATCTACCTAGATGGACTGTACTATAATTATATATGTACTATAATTATACTTGATTGAGATACTACTTTACAACGATTAAAACGATTTGACTATGCAATTAGATGTTTCAAGTTAGGAAGGAACGCAATCCACAGCATATACATGATATCTGGAAATTTAAGGATAATTCCGCAACTGGAATTAGGACACATCATGAACTACTGTTCGGCAAAATTTTGTTTAGTTAAGTCTCATGGTTTTCGAGATATACAGCAATCTTTTTTCACAGAGGATACTCACGCAAACGGGATTCCTCTATTATTAAATGAGGTAGGATATGCGCAATGGCTAATGGTGGCCAATCTGAATACCTGTTCTGCTGAATGTGATAAAAAATTACTATGATAAAAGCCCTGTTCGCATAGCTGTCGCCAATATGACAGTGATCGTGTCCAAGATCCCGCCACATAAATTCCATTCATTCTGCTACGCTATATATAGACGAACTTAAAATTGCTATAAAAAAATAGCCAACAAAATGTTGGACAACAGTACCATCGCAGGAATGCCATTAAATATCCACCTTTCTAAAGTAATTAATAAATTGATTTTCAAAAATGATAGCTGTACAAGCCCCTTCCCACTTCAAGATTTGTACCAAAATATGCCTTTATAAACTAAACATGACGAAACTATTTACTTCTAAAACAATTTATTTTCTCAAAAACATTTTAGATAAACTCTAGTCGTAAAAAATACATATTTGAAATCACTTAGACCTATAACTAATAGAACATCTGAACAAATAAACAATGTGCGAATAAATGCGCGAAGTTAACAAAGCAACAATTGAAAGATTACCATTGTTTAACATCACCCTTATTTTTTATTACGGCTGAAATTCTTTCTGGCATAGTGTTAACCAAGTTTTGGCAAAAATTTGGTGTAAAACAATCCCATATTTCTTGAAGCTTTTGTCTCAGTTGGGTGATTGTACGACCAGGATGTTGTCGTAGAACCTTTTTCCTCCCTTACCACAAAGTTTCAATAGGTGACAGATCTGGACTGCTAGAAACACATTTCAAAAGTGGTACATTAGTTTCTTCCATCCATTTTATAGCCTTTTTTGAGATATGGCACGCTGCACCATCTTGCTGAAACACAAAATCTTGGCCCGATGTCAAACATTCTTCCATCACTGGTGAAAGCGATTCTTTTAAAATTGCCAAATATTTGTTTGTATCCACATTTCCAGCAATAAAATGAAGATTTCCTACTACTTTTGATGACATACTGCCCCAGATCATAATGGATGCTGGAAATTTCACTTTTCTTTTCAGACAGTCAACATGGAATGCTTATTTTTTTTGCGAATAACTCTACTGCGACTGTCACGAACACAAACTTCGAATCGGGCCTCATCACTGCATTGTATTGCACACCATTGTTAAGGTGTCCAATGTCTATGTTCTTTAGCCCATCTAAGCCGATTTTTCTTTTGCAGTGGAGTTAATAGTGGCTTTTCTTTGGCCTATAAACAAGTTGTGCAACTTTAGGGTTTTTACTTCACTTTTTTTATAAGAAAACTTACCTTGCAAGTGCTAAATCCCAGTTTGTGGGCCTCTCTATGAGTTGTGGACCTCGAAATTCTCCTTCCAATAGCGTCACTCCGCAGAGCACTTAATTGTAAATAATTGGCACGCCTGTTTTTCACGATTATTCTTCTTAATGCTATTCGGTCTGCATTTGTGATATTACTTTTTTTCCATATCGTGGCTTAATATTAACTGAACCGGTTACGTTATATCTTCTAACAATATTTCTCACACTGTACCGCGATAAGTCTAACAAAGTTGCAATTTCTGAGTTTGATTTCCCATAATTAAAAAATTTAATTATCAGTAACCGAATTTTCTCACTAATAACCTTTCCTCTACCCATTTTGAGAACCTTAACTACCCAAAACCATGTTAAAACGTATTCTGACAGCTGTGATTAATAAAAACAATTGTCATAGGTTTTATTTTTCACAGCCACCTATGAATTATAGACTTATTTTGCATTGAAATGAAAATAGGTTGATATGCTGTAATTGCAACATGTGTTATTTTTATGCTGCAAATTTGATTAGGGAGTGATAAATTTGGTGTTTTCTACTATATATTATCAAAATATTCATTGTTAATATTTTAAACCTATAACACCCTGCTACATTTTTATTATTTGTGTTTGATAAGAAAAAAACTAAGATTTCAATAGTTGGTCTAACTGAAGTGGGAAGGGGCTCGTATATTTCGAAAATCATGATACTTTTGACTAAACAAAATTTTGCCAAACAGTAGGTCATAATGCATATGTCCAGGTGCAAGATTATCCTTCAATTCCCGGACACCCTATATACTACTAAAATACAATACAACATGAAAACCATTTTATAATTAGGACGAAACAGCAAAAAAATACAAACGTTGTTCGACACTAAGTCTACATCACCAAACGTGTTAAAATAATACATTTATAGGAAGAGAAATCTTGTATGTCAAAATGTTTCCTATTGTGCGACAAGAATTACAAGGCTGAAATACTGAGGCAGACCGACATAAATGAGTGAGTTATTTTTTCTTGCTGTATTTGTCATACAATATCTGACAATACATTGTCTCAAAGTTTCAAGCTTACGAGAAAAATATTCCACTCGCCTGTTGACGTAAAATGTAGTTATCATTGCTTTGTTAGATGTGCATGTGAATATTTTATTTCAACTGTAAAAAAAAACTAAACGGATACATCATATGGATCACTTACTAGACACTCGGCTAGATAATTTATTGCTTCCTGCGAATCTACGTTGTCACGAGTTTTCTTTATTTTTCAATGTGTGACTAACAATTTAGTAAAAGTGCTTTAAAACTTGCCTTTTGAGGTTCAGCGTTGTAAAACGATCGATGTATTCGTTTCTGACTCAAGATAGGTAGCAGTCCAAATCACCGAGCATTATCACAATAAACAAATATGGGTTAATGCATAAACATGAATAAACAAATATAATGATTATCTATGAATTATTTGCTCCATTTAAATAAAGCAAATTAAGCTTTATCAATTTAATGCTTACACAAATGTTCAAGAACTGTCCATGGTATCTGAATATTTACTAGTACTTGGTACAACAGATCCTTTTACGTCCCACGCCTACTGGTAGAGGAAGTAGTGTAATCGCGAAAAATTTCGAAAATAAGATATGATTTTTGGATGTTATATGACATGTCACTCATTTCCGTCGGTATATCTGCCCGTTATTCCTTCTCCCGTCTATAACTTTTAAAGCATTGATCGGATTTGGATGAATTTATTACACAAGCTTACTACTATGCCAAGGACGAAAAAGCTCTATAGATTTTGGATCCCGATCATCTTTGACAATTTATTTTAGAGGTAAAGAATTGGGTGGTGGGGGTTGTAGGGGGTGAGGGAGGGCATCTAATTTTTTATGTTGATATATTGATGCACTTCCAACCCAGGCGCCATGTGCACCTATTGGACTCATTTAAAAACGCGCACGTACAGTTGCCTTAAAATATTTTCAGCAGGCGGGTCGACATCGGTAGCACATGTCGTGCACCACGGGGTTATTAATAAACATTGCATCTTTGGTACTCGATCTGAGTGACATATATGTATATAAGCGTTATGCTTGGAGTGTAATTAAATGTATCAAGAGCAGTTATCAAAAATTGTTTTCAAGCAATTTTACTGCAGAGCTCCAAAGAAATGAGGCTCCCGTGCTGCGATTAGAGGATTTTTTTCATGAAAAGTCCAAATAGTGCATTACTGGCTTTGTGAAAACCTACATATTTTTGACGTAATTGCACTACATGGAAAATTGTACTAGAAGTTGTTTCGAAAGCGTGGGATAGAGTCAGTCTAGTTGACGTCATTTTTTATCCTCACAGATAGAATAAAATCGAGTTAACTATATGCATGTAAACAGTCTGATGAAGAATGTAGCAAATTGGAATATTACATCTCGTGGTTCTTTTATAATGATAGTTTTGTTGCGGCACGTATTTTAGACCGGGGAGACTGGAAGCAACAATTAGTTTTCAACATAATAGTAAGGTTTTTCACTCTTGGATGTATCTGAACTGGGTAAATGACTCTTTGGTTATTTGTCAAAAAATGTGGAATCTGCGCATGAGTCCATGAAACTTACGTATTGATGTCGAACTGAACAACCGTACTTCGGCGAACCATTACTTGAACATTATGATTCAGACAATTACAGAAAATTGGCGTTGTAAAATTAATGGAAATGATTAATTATGGCGGTACTGGTTGTACCAACTTGATTATTTTAAATGTTAACTCAATTGCAAGATTACAAACAAATTCTAAGTATATGATTCTATACCCAAGTCTAATCAATGGACTTTAAATTTAAATGTAAAAGCCTCAAAAGTATTTTTTTTAAAGATAATATATTGTGTTAGCCTATTGACATTGCAAACTTGCATTTATGTTGCAGTTGACACCATGGAACGTGGATACAATCAGTCAGCCAGGTTTCGCAAAGACGGTGATAAACAAAAAACCCACCAAACCGAAAGAAGAAAATTTGAGCGAGGAAGAGCGCGAGAAGAGAATGAAAAAGTTCATCAAAGAAAACGAGAAGGACCTTAAACATTTTGGAATGCTGCGGAAATATGACGATTCGAGGCAGTTCCTTAAACAACACCAAAACCTGGTTTGTGAAGATACGGCAAATTATCTCGTTATATGGTGCATAAACCTGGAAATGGAAGAGGTAATTTTTATCCCAAAAATAAATAACAATATTGGAGTACAATGTGAAATGCCATATGCTACAGTAAAACCAACATTGATTCTTTGGATTTGATTATGTTTTCAACTAATATGCCCAAAAACTTTTAGCTACATGAAATGATGTTCCAAGATGAGGGAACTTCAAAATGAAGGTTCACTTCAGCTTGAATATCAATAATGATATGTTAGGGAGGTTTTCCTTTAGTTGATTTTTTTTTTGATTATGTGTGTGTTCAATGTCTTGAAGATAAAATTACTTTATTTACATTACAATTTGGTGTCTCTTGTCAATCTCATTCTTAATCGTTTTATTTACCTAAGCCATCTGAAAATGTACATACGAAAGACGTTCATTTACTTTTCTAAGATGTTGATTGGGGAATAGCCTCTGGAATCAGACTGAAGAATCGCAAAACCTTGTCCTGGTTCTTTCGTCTCTTTCGGGACTAAGTATAAATAAACATTTCGAATAAAAATATGAATTTGAATTGTGATTGTGACCAATGAGTGCCACTACTTACTCGTTTGTGGAAGACGGATTCATGGCTAATATTGATTTTTGTTATATATATATATAACGTATATATGTATAAGAAAAATACAACAACAATTGGTAGGTCAAACGCGTTTCTAGTCTTAATTTACTGCATCTGGTGATATGATAAGAAGCGTTTTACTCAAAGCCGACGCTTAGACGTTTATTACCTTACAAGCTTTGTGTATTTTATCCCAACATCCAAAGATTAAAACTAGGGAGGAGTAAAGTGCAATGCCGTATTATATCTAAAACAAAGTAAGACTGTCAAAAATTTGTTATGACATTCCTTCCGATTCTTCTGAAAGTTAGTTACGAAATTCCGATTCATACTGTATACGGATATAGATTTTCTGGCCAATATAAATGTTTTTCATTTTCCTTTAGAAACACGAGTTGATGGAGCACGTGGCCCATCAGACTATCTGCATGCAGTACATCTTGGAATTGGCCAAACAACTGGACTACGATCCGAGAGCGTGTGTCGACGCTTTCTTTACGAAAATCCAAGTAGCTGAGCCAGAGTACAAAAAATCCTTCGAGGATGAACTGGAACAGTTTAAACAAAGGATAAGGAAGCGGGCGGCTGAAAAAATCGAGGAAGCCGTTAAGGTATACATAATAATAGTCCTTATATAGTCTTTGGACACGATCGTAGTTATACATCATCCTGGCAAAATCTTCGTATCCGATGAGAAAAAATATTCTGATTAGTCCAGATCACCGAGGACTTGATGGTAAAAACCTAGACTATTTGTTTAGGGCTAAGAAGTGCTTTTCTCCACTTGACATCCTTACTCTGTACAAGTCCCATATAAGACGAGTACAGCTCATATGTTTGAGGTGTTGCCGCCCCGACTACGTTATCCATGCTCGGTGCTATTCAGAGGAGGGCTGTCCGAACAATCGATGACTCTTCTCTAACTGACAGTTTCGGGCCCTTTCGCACCGGCGGCCCGTCTTCGATCTAGCTCTCTTCTAACCGCCTCAACAAAAAAGAATAAAAGTCACTCAAACTTCGTATATGGAGGGAAACATTTGGGGGTGGGGTTTGTGGGGGGTGGGGAGCGTTTATTCAATTTTTTGATGTTAGTACATTTATCCTATTATTATATCCTATTAGACATATTTCACACATCATAGACTTCTCCGTACATTAGCCCTTAGAACTTAAATTAAATACCGCCCGCGGGTGGTAAGTATTTCCTATGCTCTGTACGCGCTGCCAGGTGTGACCGGAGAGAGACCACGTTTCCAGACGCACTTTGGGTAAGGGTGATCTATGGACTAAGTGTATGAACCTGTTTGACTGACTTTTTGCTCAGGAGGTATAGTTTGTTCTGAACATGATCCTCTAGGAAGTGATAACAGCGTTGCGTGGAAAATGCAGAGTCAACCTACTTGACGCCATTTTTTAATTGTTAATCGAGCACGCGATCAATGGTTCTCCGCCGCGGCTGGCGGGCGCCCCCACATTGTATATACATATCTGGTACTCAAGCAGAGCGTACACTGAGCGCGCGCTTGGTTAACAATTGAAAAACAAAGGTTTACTATAACAATACCTCCTCAGATGTTTTGGATTTTGTTAATGTAAGTTTGAAGAATAATTGGCAACATTAAAATTTTAGTTTTTTACAATGCAAAAATGTTTTTGTCAACGTGTAAGCTTGTCACTGTCAGAATTACAAGTTGCTTGTCATGTGCGTGCCATTTGAGATTAGCTTTTGTTGATCCTCGATATAAAACATAGCAATGTCTGAAGATTCAACTACAATATCGACAGTCTGTTAGATTTATTAAGTGTTTTCAGAAAGTGAATGATAACGGCCCTGTATCACTCAATTAATGTGTGTGTAAGAGCGAGTCGCAGCTGCACTATGTACCGGCTTGTGTCAACGAATTTGAATAGGTTGGAAGGAGCCAAGCCTATATGCTTAAATTGCATTGTTAGTCGCCAAAATTGTGTAGTTTAGTGCGCCCTTTTGGCCGATTTGTCTACCATTACCTAAAAAATAACAAGTCAATGCATCCGTGTACATTTTTTTCTCGAGAAGTATTCAATTAGTAAATCTTACTGGGTGGACTGACATTTAGCAGTGCAGAACCACTACTGCATTGTGATCTGAACCGTTCGGCTATTAATAAACAGGGATAAATTAAATAAGGCAAGAAAACGAAAGTAAATATATATAAATAAATAAATATCTATTAACGCACATCAACAATTCTACTTAATTCGTAATATTGGAAGGTAAAAAATACGAAATATTGTCATCATACAGCAGCTATGGCGGAATAACTGATATTGGAAATAGACACCTTGCTTAAATTCTACTCGGTTTTTCTAAATAGTTGTTGTGACCCGAGCAGATTCTTAGCTAAAAGTAAATACCTAGCTGAGCAGAGTATGGAAATTACTGCTATTGTCACTATATTTATCCAATAAAAAGATTTGAAAGTTGTTTTAAATTTGTTTCATATTCATGGTTTCTTCGGGAATAATAAGCATGCATCACTAGAATCTTGTGGCAACAAAATGAGAACGTAAAATTTTTATTCGTAACGTGGAAGTGGAGACCTTTCCTAAGAACTTTTTTATTAGAAATTGAAGTAGATAAGACTTCAAGCTAAAGTTTCACTTGGACCTTTTCAGTATCCATAAAAAATTGGTTTGACTTCAATACTTTTTATTTTCTAATTTTGCTGTTAGGTATACAATCCTGTTAGTAAACCTTAGAAGCCCACTGGTCAATCTGTCTACTGATTTCTAACATAAACGTCAAAAACCACGGAAAGGCCTATAACTTCCCCCCAATATTTTGAACGCCGCTTGCGTAAAAGTTCTTGGACCTATATCCAAAACAGCCAGAAATGTGATTATTTCCATTGTTTCAAACATTTGACCTTCAAAATTATACCGCAGAACCCGAAACAAGTGAGCGATAGATGCTGTGTTTGGAGAATAGGATTGCATTAATTCGCAATCAGAGCTCTGGTGATAATTTTTTGTGTGCACATCCTCATGCTATTTAATTCCACGTAAGGTGATGCGTGCGTAGTGGGATTACAAAGACGTTCTGTTTTTTGAGATACATATTTCCGTTCGATAAATTGTTCCTTGGGGTGCAAGAGAAGCGGTCTTCAGTAGCAAACAAAAAAACTGCAGGCATATCACATGACAGTCCGATCACGCCCGTTTTTGACCACAAACAGGAAATTGCAAATCTTTGGTCCGGTGGTGTGTCCCACCGTGGCGTGGTCTCCAAATCTAGAGCTATACCCTATTTCACGAATACCCATCACGCTCTGACGTCTACTGAGGTGAACAGCTGATCAGTGACATTTTTGTGCTAGTCTGCAACGTTAGCAATAATGAATCGGGTATAAATTTAGTAGATCTTGTTTGTGGCGTTTTTTTTTTGTATGCAAATGAACTTCTCTAAATAAAAGCGCTTTTAGCGAGTACAAAATGTATCTGTAGCTTACAAAAAACCAAAACAAAATACGGGTTTGACGTTGACGGATCCGTCAATATTATGTGTCGTGTACCGATATGGGGAGTTTTGACTTATTACTTCATAACGAGCTGTCATTCTACCGTGACGGATACTCGTGAAATAGAGTATAGCCGTTCCGCATTATTTTACGCTCTGTGAATAATCTTGATGGACTCAATTGAGATTAACCGAAATAACCAACCTGATATTTTTGAATTTAAATCGACTTATAGGCGTTATGATGAATCCTAAATATTGGAAAGAGATTATAACATTTTTCAATATACTTGATTAAATAAATTTTTACAAGTACTTAAATTATCTTTTCACCTCAAGGTCCACAGAATGCTTCTCCACCCTAATAAATAGGTGTTTCGCAAATATTTTAGTTATCTAACAGTTTTTCTTCGACTAGGTATGAATATTAAGATAATAATATTATGGTATATGTGTATATACATATATGGCAGTCTATACCTAACATAAGACTAGTGAATCCACATATCATGTTTTCTTTTACCAGGAAATGGAAGAGGAAGAGAAAAAGAACCGTCTGGGGCCAGGTGGACTTGATCCTGTTGAAGTTTTTGAAACTCTTCCCGATGAATTGAAAAAATGTTTCGAGTCACAAGATGTCCAGCTTCTCCAAGATACCATAGATAAGATGGACGTAAACGAAGCCAAATACCACATTAAGCGCTGTGTAGACTCTGGTCTGTGGGTGCCAGATGCACACAAAAAGACGAGCGATGAAGCGGGAGATGCGGGAGCGTCTACAGCAGAAGACGAGCCAGAAAAAACGGCTGAGTCACAGAAAGCAGAGTCATGAACTGCTATCGCCTCGCAAGATGAAATTCGAGATGTGTGTTATTCTTCTATTAATGTTAGTCCGACCATCTTGAGCTCGGTTGATAAATAATTATAACAAAATGCCAGGTGTATATTCTTCTTAATATTTAGTCTGTCACTGAAAATAAAATGTTTTCAGACTTGTAGGATGTTTTCGAAAATGTATGGTGTCATCATTTTTACAAGAGATAAGTGTTTTGAAGGATGTACTCGCAGGTGTGCGATGTTTTTGTAAACTAAATTCAAACCGAGTGGTATATCTTCTACAACTCCGATTATATGTTAAAATTTTTAATTTTTAAATATATGATTTTTCAGATTCAGTGTTAGTTCTGCTAACTTTATACCTATTTAACTCAAATAACTTCCTTCTAGATGGCCAGTTCTGCATGCGAGTGAAATTTTGGTAATACTTCAAGCACCATTTTTGATTTATATCTCTTTTACAGGATGTTTTTAGTGCGGGCTCCGTTGATTGCTCCATTTTTTTATACTCCAACTACCACGAAGGCCAAAGGCCTAAACGCCCATGGGGTACCGTGGGGCTATAAGGGGATACAGGGGAAAGGGGGAACGCCGACAATCAGAACATGTATAGCCAAGAGAAAAATTTCTCCTGGGACGGGATTCCAACCCGCACAGCGCACTGTGACTGATCCATCGCTATAAAAGATATATCTGAATAAAAAATGTTCTCTTCCCGACGTCTGGATAGCTCTTACTGCACAACTAGTATGAAACGCGGTAAATTGGTTAATGCGCTAATAGTGACGTGTTAAATTCGATCCGGTCCGATTTGTTGGATCATTCTGAATGAGAAAGGTCCGTAGTAAGTTTTCTCTACAGTTAGTCGTTTTCAAGCTATAAGCGATTTCATGCCTGAAAACCCTACAAATGATCTTCAGTGATTAAAAACTCATTAGTTTTGAGGTCGCCAAGTATTAAATTAAAACTGAAACCTTCCCCTACAATAGCACGAAGAGTGTTTCAAGATTAATTTATTTTGAAGCGATTTTTAAACTAATGTTCTAGGCCAGTATTGGCGAACTTTTAAATTTCGCTGACTCTACATACTACTTTCATTAAATTGAAGTTAAAACCAATGTTTTGTTTATAAGCAAAGTATATCGCCATTTTTTTTAATATTCATGGCGTCCCAAACGTCATGGAAAGCTGATGATAAGAGGTCATTTCTAGTCACGGTTTTTCAGTTATCCACATTTTAAAGAATTTGAAGAAAATTGAACGTTTGTGCGGGCGCTGGATGCAATTGAGCTTGCACAATATACGGTATCAAACGAGAAAAGGCCAAGAAACAATAATCCGGATCTTGCCGGCCCACCTTTTGCTCCATTTTTTAAGTATAAAGGAAATAAGCATGGTTATTTAATTTTATTTATATTTTTCATAATTTAAGAGACAGTATATTGTTAAATGAAGCATAAATCAATATGTATTAGCAATGTTGCCGTTTCGCCAGTAATTACTGCCATTTGCGAGGAACGAGAAGAACCGCCAGGAATATCAACAATTTTTAATTTCTTTGACATATTTGCACATTTTACTGTCCGCCAGTTTCTTACCTATTGCGATCTACACGCTGTTTTTCTACTTTCCTTGTTTGGCACATTTACATCATTTACACTTAATATTCCGCTTTTATATTCAAACGATTTAAGAAATACGAGAAAGGGGTATTAGTGAGGTCCAGGTTATCATGGTTGCACTGTTTCTAAACTTTTATTTGCTCATAAATATAGGCCCTTTCACAGTTTTTGGCAAGCTACAAGAATTACATTTATAAATCCATCTTCTTCAGATAAACCATGTCGCAGGGTTATGTTACGATATAAAAAACCTATACAATGTCAAAAAAATCTTTAAAATGTTAACTTGTGCACTAGGTAGCACTTCTCCCTGAGTCTACGATATATGTTCTGAACTAGACAATTTATCCAACCTCGCCTTGCCTTTCATGAAACCATTATGAGCTGCGGCAGTCTATCCTTGGTTCATGATAGGCTAAACTTGTAATTGACATAAAATGTCAAGATTAACAAGAAGAATGTAAGTACCAGTGACCAATGCCCAGTGGTTACTCGTCATACAGACACGCAAAAAATAGACCCACAATTGCGATAGCCTTACTCGTGCTATCCAATAGCGAACAGCCGACATTTTTTGTCGCACATCATGCTTTGACGTCAACTGAGGTGAACAGCTGATCAGCAAGTGACATTTTTGTGTTGGTCTGCGATGTTGGCAATAATGAATCGTGTGTAAATCTAGTAAAACTGGTTTGTTTTTGTATGCAAAGAACTTTTCTAAATAAAATAGCTTTTAGCAAGTACAAACTAAAACTGAAGCGTACAAGAACCCAAAACAAAATATAGCTGGTGGCCATAACCTCAAACGTCGTGTCATGACATGAGCGACATCACGGTGATTCCCTATCCGCACGGGTATTATGTGAAAAACCTATAAAATATCATCTTGCAGCCTAGGTAGTTTTCCACATTTGATCACTAGGATCGTTGTGAGCCTCCATCTATGGGGGAATGGCTCAACTACATGCATTGCTGGTTGCATATGTTTTGTGAAGCCGAGTACTCTATAGTTTTCATCTCGGAGAAGGAAGCTGGTTGGTCTGCATGTGTATAAAATTAGTGATATTTGCTCTGTGAGAAAATCATTACCGAATACGCTGCCAATGAAGTATATCTATTAGCTGTGCCCGACGGGTTATTTATATCTTGTCCCATCAGAAGTATAAAACATAACTTTGACTACTTTAAATTAATTTTGAAAAGAATACAAAGTGATATAGATATAATCATTCTATCCGAAACATGGCAAGTGGGTGATGTGACTCTGTTTCATTTAGAACGATACATTGTATAATTTTGGTAACCATAATCAAAACGATGGAGTGATGGTGTATGTACGAAACAATCTGCCTTATAACCATACCATATTTACAATCAACAATGAACTAAAAGGTATCAATCTAACAATGCAAATTGAAAATCGTAGAGTCAAAATTACTTGTGTTTACCGACCACCATCTTCAGATCCTCATAAATTTATAAGAGACATAGATGAACTATTAAAAAACAATGAAAACAATCACCTTCATAATCAAATATTTATAGGCGACATCAATATAAACATTTTAGAGGAAAATTCTATGGTGAAAGAATATTTAAACATTTTATCAAGTAATGGTTTTTTATCGTACATAAATAAAGTAACACGACCCACCAGTAAAACCTGCATTGATCACTGCTTTATAAAGGATATTTCCAATATTTTTTCTTACATGCCTATTATCTATGAAACCGATATTACAGATCATTATTCTACTGTATTATTGATATCTTCACAAAATAAAAACCAGAACTGCCCAAGGAGAAAAAATGAAAGAAACTTTGAATAAAAATATTTCACTGACAACTCAAAATTAATATTTAACGCACAAACGGAATCGTGGGACGAAATTTTTTTAACAAATTCTTTAGACGAAGCTACAAATTTATTAATACACAAAATTCAAAAAGTAATTGAAGTTAGTACTAATAAGGTTAAAATAAGTCACAAGGAAAAAAGCAGAAATGATTGGATGACCAAAGGACTAATAAAATCTGCAAACGAAAAAGAAAGACTGTATAAAATCATGAAATATTTACCCACGAAAGAAAATATAGATCATTATAATCAGTATAAAAACAAATTTATAGAACTTTGGAGAAAAGCAAAAAAAAAATACTATATAAAACAATTGAATAATAATTCACATGACTCTAGACACCTATGGTCCACTGTCAATGATATATTCAATAAGTCATCCTATTCAAAAAACAATATTAATGAAATAAAAACAAAAACAGGACAGAAAACAGACAATATTCAGCAAATATGTGATGAGTTCATAGAATTTTTCACGAATATAGAAGGAAACTTAGCAAATAATATCAAACAAAATGCTGATATTCATCTGCATGAAACAAGACTGAATAATTCATTTGTATTAACTGAAGTAGACTATCAGGATGTTTTCAATGCCATTATGGCTCTAAAAAATAAAAAAAGCCCTGGAGTTGACGAAATTAGAGCTGAACATCTAAAGATACTGGCCAAACAAATAACAGAACCACTTGCTTATATCATTAACAAATCCTTCCAATCTGGAGTATTTCCATCAGCTTTCAAGACAGCAATCATCATACCTATCTATAAATCTAATGATAATACGGACGTCACTAACTATCGACCTATTTCACTTATATCAAGTTTAGCTAAAGTTTTTGAGAAATTACTCCTTAATAAAATGATTAATTTTCTTAATAAATTCAAAATTCTAAATTCAAATCAATATGGTTTTATAGCCGGCAAATCTACAACAGATGGGGTATTAAGTATAGTAGATGAAATAACCCAAAATATAGATGGAAAAGTACCATCGATATGCGTATTTGTGGACTTACAAAAAGCGTTTGACACAGTTAACCACAATATACTTTTGGAAATCTTAGAAAGAATAGGTTTTCGTGGAAAGATGTATACTTTAATGGAAAATTATTTATCAAATAGACCGCAATCAGTAAAATTATTAAGCTCGTATAGTAAAGAAATGTTTGTTAAATGTGGTGTTCCACAAGGTACAATTTTGGGTCCTCTGTTATTCAATATTTATTTAAACGATATATTCAAAATTAACAGTACTGGTAAAATAGTCAGTTTTGCAGACGATACTGCTATACTCTATAAAGGTAATGATTGGAACGACTTAAAAGATATTATCCAAAATGACTTTTGCAAAATTATTCAGTGGTTTAATAACCGAAAATTAACAATTAACTTTACTAAAACTCATTTTTTACCATTTTCATCACTATCTAATCATCTACCAAAATATAACCACCTTCGGTTTAAGGTAAATGATAAAAATATAAAAATCAATAGAGTTAATGATACAAAATATTTAGGAATTTATCTAGATCCCCACTTGAGATGGGATGTACATATTCCTCACATACTAAAGAAAATTAGATTCATAGCATATAAAATAAAATTTCTAACCGGTATATTAACTGAATATTATCTACGAATAATATATCAAGCTTTAGTCGAGCCACACATAACATATGGTATAGTAGTGTGGAGTGCTTCATGCACGACATACTTTAACGATGTTCTTCAAAGAAGAATTTTAAAATCAATGTTAGGCAAATCAAAATTATACCCAACTAATGACTTATATAATGATGCACAAGTATATGATACTAAACAACTTTACTTCTTACATACCATCACTCATTATCACAAAACTATTAGTGAACACGACATAATTAAACATAATCATAAAACCAGATATAAATTACGCGCAAAAAATGTTCCTAAACCAAACAAATCCCTAATGAAACGATGTCACCTGTATATAGCTCCAAAATTGTACGAACATTTACCAAATAATTTAAAACAATTACGCAATACATTAGGCTTCAAAAAAAAAATTAAAAAAATTTATTAACACGATTGGGAAAAATCAAATTAATAAAATAATCTCAAATATTACACAATAAATGCTCTACCATTCTTACCAATAATTTCTTTTTTCTCTCTATTTTATTATATTTTGCAATTCAACATACATATGATCCATGCACAGGCGTTGTCCTCCTATGGATATATTATATTTATTTACTCGTTTCATGTTCCCTGTATTTTAGAGTAAATAAATATTATTATTATTATTATTATTATTATTATTATTATTATTATTATTATTATTTCTGAAGACAGGTTATGTTAAAAGTTATAATTTTTTTACGTGTTTTGTATTTTCAAAAACAGAAGAATTACGAGAAATCACCACTGCGTCCGCACAGTGTACAGTGAATATAATTATTTCTTATCTCTCTCATTTTTTGAAATTCAGCAAATTTGCATATGTAGTTTCCAGAATGGATAAGAAAAAGTGGATGCGAAACAAATTTCTAGCTTTGAATCTCAAGTAAGTGTATTTGAGACAAGAATCCAATAGAATTATCATCAACATTATTAGCACACAAATTCTCTACATGCACACATTGCCGATACCTTCAGTAATGCCAGCTCTGAAGCATATTTTATATCACATCAGAGTCAAACGTTGATAACTGAAGCCGCATGACGTTTAGGCAACACATACAACTACAAAATGAGTTCCCAACCTGTCCATCAGCTAGTGCTAAGTTAACTTCTTGTAGAAAAACCTACATAATTTCACAAAAACCCAATATAATGTCAAAAAAATCGACATAATGTCACTTTTCAAGATACGTAATACCCGTGCCGTTTTGAGTAAATTTTAACTGTTTATTGATTGAAATCTTTATATCATATAGAAATATTGCAGTGGCCCCTTCTTCCATGATTTTTAGCATCTTGTTCACATATTTTCCATGAAAATATTTCTTTCCTATTACCCAAAGAACTTGTAAGGAGCAAATTGTATCCCTGCCTACAGGTATGCTGCCCTTCTTACTTGGAATCCTGGGTACATCCTTTATTGATAAAAAAATATCTTCAGGCCGTTGTCTCAATGCATTGAACCCAACATTAATTCCGACAAAATAGGGGTGGAAACTGTACCTAAAAAGTAGATACAGCTCTCATAAATAATCATTTTCCAAACAAATATTTTTTAGGGATACAGCAACCGCTGGAGCCAGCAATAAAACTTACTTTTTCGGGTAGTTATGAATGTAAATATGTAAAAACCCGCAACACCGCTACTTTCCAGAAAAACCTTAGACATGAAAAGCTGAAAATACATCTTAATTTAGCATCGATACGGTATAAAATTTTGTCTTTGAAATCGTTGGAAACATGTAAAAGTCGCTCCTATTGGTCCTTAGCGAAATATCAAAGCACAACATTCAACATTTCTAGTAATATAGCTTTCGTCCGTTTAACCACAGATGGCCAACCATGGACAGCTGTTTCGTGTTATTTGGCAACCCACCAGGAATATCTAGGCTTGGCCTCAGGTAGCTCGTCGGACAACGAGCAAAAGCTGAGCAACTATATTCCTGTTAAAACCAAGGTCAATATCGTTATTATCACCATGATGACATGCAGGTCTGTCCATCGACTTTTTATACAGTAATTGCTTTTTGTCACGGATTTGTCACTGATTGCCAGACACAATGGTTATCTTCCAACGACCGGCTAGATGTTGCGTGTTACAGCTTAGTTTTTGTATATGTATAGAAATTGAAGCATTTACAAAAATTTGTACAATTCCTAAATCATTTGAAATGAGGGTTAATACGTACTACGCTCAAAATATTATGGACACGAAACTTTTGAGAAGAATGGGTATGGCCAGGGAAATATTGAACATTATGAAAAAACGAAAGGCACGTTATTAAATTCCCGAATACTTGGCAAACACATATTTTGTCAAAAAAAAAGAAAGATTTTAACAAACGTTTCAGGATATCAAAACAATTTGTTGATGATGATATATAACCTATATAATGACCTTAGATGTTCTTTGGAGTTCAAGTTTGAAAATTCAAATATCAGCCTCCATTTCCGACAGCAGATTCGTATAGAATTATTTATTTGAGACTTTACATCAAGGTGCATTTTCATGCATGAAGTCAAGTCATACCTTGCGCACCCAGTAACGTCTGCAAAGTACACGAAAACATGACAACCACGCAAGGTATCTAAAAAGCAATTCGTCGATGATCTAAATAATGATCGCAGAGGTCATTTGGAGGTCAAGTTCGTAATATCTGTCTGTCTGTCTGTCTATAACTCGAAAACGTACTACTCGAATTTTGATGAAATTTTCACACCAAATAACTACTAGGTATGTTAAAAATGAAAAAGCTTTGTAGTTTTTGAAAATCGGTCTAGTAGCGGCGGCGTAAGGACCAAAAAACGAAACAATAAAAATCGCTCAAATTATGCTTTTTTGACATTTCAGAGACTCATGTTTATTTACAGAAAAAAGTTTTATAGTGATTAAACATCGTGGTTGTGGATAAATTGCGCTTTTTATAGCCGGAATACCTTTGTAAGGACCGCCTTTCGAAAAAAATAATGCGTTTTTGCAAACTTTTTGGTGTGCTCTTATACGCTTTACACGTTATAGTAGGTCATGATTGAACCACTCACTCACAACTTTGACCTCATCTCTGAAAACGCAGTCCAATGTAGAATCTCAAGCTGTACACGATTCTGCTATTTAAAATGGCGTCAGGTAGGTTGACTCTGCACCTCCCACGCAACGCTGTTACCAGTTCATAAAGAATTATGTTCAGGACAAACTAGACCCTCTGAGAAAAAAGTGAGTCAAACAGGTCCATACAGTTAGTCCATGGACATTCTTTCCCTTCCTTATCTTTAGTCCATCGGGCAACGTCGCCTCTCCCCAGCATCTACGCGGTGAGACGTGGCAGCGCGGACACATCATAGGAAACACTATGCTGCGGCGCGGCAGTAGAATGTGTAATATCAGAACAACCACAAAGCTTTTTGTTCTTGGCGTAGCAGTAACACAGTATAAAAATCAAAATTCGAATGGTGCTTCTCAAGTTATAGGCGGTTATTGGATTAGCGGACAGACACACCAATAGACAGACGGAAATGATTGACATGCTATGACATCAAAAAACGTATGTCATTGTCTAAAATTTTCGCAATTACAATACTTCTCCGCCAGTAGGTGTGGGAAGTAAAACGGTAGCTGCTTTTTGATTTGCAAACTTCTGACTTCCAAATGACCTCTAAGATGCGTTGTTACCGATTTTTCGGGGTGTTCTGATATAAAATATAATAGACATCATATAGAGGCAGAAGATAAGCATTTTTGAGATCATCGATAGATGGTAAGACTGAAAGATAGAGGGGCCCGGACAGAATACGATGCTCCTGCTTCAAGAATGTAAGAGACTGGAACGACCTAAACTCACAGTCACTTTTAAGATTCGCTCAAAATCGGGAGCGATTTACCAAAATTGTAGTCAACCTCACGTAAAGAGGAAGATGATTCCCACATTTACTCGAGTTCGTGTACTTCACAATCACTTGTTTTTTTATGAAGTCCTCATTTTTCAATCATTGTGATGTGTTTTTATTATGGCATGTTTGAGGTAAAAAAATAAAATCCCAGCTTTACGTGGACCAAAGTTATCCGCCAGGATAAAATCCAGAATATGAAAATTCGAAAACGTTGAAAAATGAAATTTGTACGCCGGTGTTAGATCAATTTTCTACCTATACGCTTTCGTCCTTGGCATAGTAGTAACCTTGTGCCAAAATTTCATCAAAATCTGAGCGGAACTCTCCAAGTTATAGATGAGTCAAGGACAGCGGAGAGACATGCCTCGTAACATCCAAAAACTATAAAATCTCATTTACGAAAGAACCAGGCAGTAACCTTGTGGAAAATGACTTTTCGCTAAATTTGTTGAAATTTCGCACTCTACCTCTTAGCCCATATTTCAGCAATATTCCGTTTTCAAATTCTTGTATTACTTCAGAAGTCTTTATACTCGTAACTAGCATTGTGCGGTTGCCGGCAATTTAAATCCAAGACAATATTAGGGATAATATTGCCGGCAATATGGTCCAAAAGTGGCAACTTAGGCCAACTTTATGTTTAAAGCTGAAAATCAATTAAATGTTGTACTGTTGTATATAATTAAAGGTATGAGCAAAAAAACGAATAAAGTAATACATAGTTTATTATAATATATAAGACACAAATCAACAAAAATAAAATATTAAACTAAAAACGAGTTCCTCTCATTATTACAAAACTTATCTTAAACCTTAATTATGGGATTATGATATATCGTGTAATTCGTGCTCGTGCATGGTGATTTTGAACCCGGAAACTAAGTCTCAGATCCTGCTTCCGATTCCAACCCTGATGTATAGGAGCATGATGAAGGCGATGCAGTAGAAGTGTCATTTATCATTCTCAACGGTTTCCATTATACTAGTGTAATCTAAGGTTCTTGCCGATGACTGAGACTGTATTTTTTGCTTGCTGTGGTTGTGACGTTGACTCACTATTATTACCAGTTGTGATTTTGGTTGACTTATTGATACCTGGTGCCTTCCTTCTGTGCATAACTTGCCAGTTATGGGCAATGTAGTATAGTCTTCCTGCTCTGTTGGTATTCAGTTTATGTCGCTTCTTATCATGTACAAATGAGAACGTGGAGAAGGGTCTTTCCACAGAGGCATATGTTGAGGGCACACTTAAAATTCTTATTGCAACCTCTCCTAAGTCAGTATTTTGATAAAAGTTTTTCCACCATAACAAAGCACTTATGCTTTCATTTTCAGCAGTCTTCCAAACAAACTCCTTTCTCCAAATTCCCTCTAGATATCTGTACATAGCAAGTTCTACCATAACACTGGGTTTACATGCAGCGACTATCGCTGTCACTCGCGCTGCCCACTGTCCTGCCGTGAATAATTCATCGGCAGCATTTGGAGCAAGTGACTGTTTACGTGCAGCCACCCTACTAACCTACCATAAACTTCTCCCAAAAAACTTTCCATTGCATCAAATGCAAACCAAATGGGCTGACATAGCTCATCTGCATCCGTTCTAGACCTAATCGAAGCGTTTTTCTTTTTTAATAGCGGCCGCAATGTTGCCATTAGCGATTTTTTTTGGACTTAAACTTAAGCTCTTGTGTTGAATGTTTTTTAATCCTTCGCTTATCGGTGTCCAAGCATCCCATAATAATCTTTCAGCCGCATATAGCTCTAAAAACTCGATCATTGCTCGACTCAATCATGGTCCAAGTGTATTTTAAAATGAATAATATGTCAAAAAAGGAATAAATTAGGTTAAGATACCCTGCGTCCACGTGGTAAGTACAGGACTGACTATTGGTACAGCGGGCAGCATGTAAACGGTCGCTGCCACTCGTGCTGCTGATCCTTTGACTTCCGTCCAAAAAAACGCAAACGAAGGGAGCATGCGGCAGCGGCATGAGCATTGGCAATGCGAGCTGCATATTTACATACTCGCGCTGCCCACTTCGCTGCCCAATTTCCTGCTCACTGCCGTGGAAGAGGGCTGCATGTAAACCCGATATAGGATTTTGATCATCAGTGTTATTTATGTTTCGTCCGATTTGACATATTCCTCCACAACTGTCAATGTGTTGTGCTGTCATTATTAATCCATGGCTTCTGGAATCCAGGAGACAAGCTGCCAAATGAATAGACTGTAAGCCATGTAACTTTCTGTCTTCAAATTTCTGCCGAATTAACTCTGCTTCTGTGGAAGACCTCAAGGCCTGAGGCAATAAGTCTTATACAGGGTTTACATGCAGCCACTGCCGCTGCCACTCGCGCTGCCCACTGTCCTGCCGTGAATAATTCCACTGCAGCATTGGGACCAAGTGACTGTTTACATGCAGCCACCCTACTAACCGCACCATTCTCCAGCAATAATGGAGGACGTAGAAATTGTCGCGGCGACAGCGCTGTGTGTTTTGAGTTTGCAAAACTATAATAATGTTCCATTGCATCAAATGCAAACCAAATGGGCTGACACCTCATCTGCACCCACTCCAGACCTAATCCAAGCGTTTTTCTTTTTTAATAGCGGCCGAAATGTTACCATTAGCGTTTTTTTCGACTTAAGCTCTTGTATTGGGATGTTTTTTAATCCTTCGCTTATCCGTGTCCCCGCATCATGTACTTTGTTTTTTGTGATCATTATGTGAAGCATCCCATAATAATCATTTAGCCACATATAGCTCTAAAAACTTCGATACTTGATCACTGCACCACTGAATCATGGTTCAAGTGTATTTTAAAACGAATAATTTGCCAAAAAAGGAATACATTAGGTTAAGATACCCTGCGTCCACGTGGAAAGGACAGGACTGACTGTAGGTACAGCGGGCAGCATGTAAACGGTCGCTGCCGCTCGTGCTGCTGGTCCTTTTACTTCCTTCCAAAAAACCGCGAACAAAGGGAACATGCGGCAGCGGTATGAGCATTGGCGATGCGAGCTGCCGTGGAAGAGGGCTGCATGTAAAACTCGATATAATATTTTGATCATCAATGTTATTTATGTTTCGTCTGATTTGACATATTCCTTCACAACTGTCAATTTGTTGGGCTGTCATTATTAATCCATGGCTTCTGGAATCCAAGAGACAAGCTGCCAAATGAATAGACTTTAAGGCATGTAACTTTCTGTCTTCAAATTTCTGTGAAAGACTTCAAGGCCTGAGGCAATAAGTCTATTTGACAAAAAAACCGACCACGCTACGTGAATTATATGGTGGTCACCCTCCAAATATGTGATCCAGTGCACAATTGGTTGCAAAAGGCTTCGAAGGTTCTCCAAATGTGACCAAAACTGGTCATCAAGTAAAGTCTGTTTATGCTTTTGGTCAAAGTTTTTGTAGAGTCTTGGTTTATTGCTGCCGTACAGCCCCGACGTATTGTCTTGGTCCGGTGGGAGAGAGCTGATTGCGCTACTCGGACGCAGCTAATAAAATGTGGGCAAGATTACCAATAACGTTGCCATAATTGTGGAAATATTCCCACATTTCCACCAATAATGCCGCTTAAAAAAATTCCCAAATTTTGGCAACTAACACTTTAAACAGACCTTGGCAACTTTCTGGGAATATTCCTAACATGGGAATATTGCCATTTGGCAATATTGCCGTCGGCACATCGCTACTCGTAACTAACACCCTCCAAGTTTGCAATGATCAATGCACAAAGTGTTTTAATTGTGTACAAAGAGAATAACATCAAACCTAACTATCGTAAGCATGGAAATGTTTTGAAGTATTGTGATATCCAGTTGCATTGAAATTAAATACACCTAGGAATGTCTCTAAAAAGATATTATGAAAATATTTGAACACATAAGTTTACTAGAATGGTAAATTATGATGATAAAATGAAGGCGCATAATAAACTACACCTCTCTATCAAGTTTCAAGAAAAGTCAGGAATTCAGACTTTCAGTAGTACGAGCAGTCGTTTTTAGGATAGTGGGTGAATGTTTTTTTGTGCCATAAGTTTCACTGAAGTATACATGGGATAATACTACTTCTGTTTTCATCTCGAAATGCCGTGTTACGTTTTCAACGGGATCCTCAGCATTCGTCAGTTATCATTTATGAATAGTGGTGCAAATGTTAATAAGCGTTAACTTTCATTACTAGACGTGATGAACGTAACCATCCCTTTTTAACGGGTGATTTTTCAAGAGATATAGGATTTGATTTTCAAGAAAAATACAAAAAAATTAAAAAAACGATTAAATATTTATTTGAGTCGATAGAACGGTCGATATAATTTAATGTTTAAAGATTATTTCATGTAAATGTTGGCCGCGGCTCCGCTTTAGATGGCCCATGCGCAAGGTCCAATTTTGGCACACTCTCTCCAACATATCGGCCGGTATCTCACGAATAAATGCTTCAATATTGGCTTCCAGTGCGTCAATTGTTGCTGGTTTATCCCTGTAGACATTAGCCTTAACATGGCCCCACAAGAAATAGTCCAACGGCGTTAAATCACACGATCTAGGCGGCCAATTGACGGGCCCCAAACGTGAGATAAACTGTTCACCGAACTCGCCTCTCAATAGGGCCATTGTTTCGTATGCGGTGTGGCATGTGGCACCGTCTTGTTGAAACCACATGTCAGCCAAGTCCAGCACTTCCATTTTGGCCAAAAATAAGTTTGTTATCGTCGCACGGTAGCGCTCGCCATTCACAGTTACGTTCCGGCCATTGTCGTCTTTAAAGAAGTACGGCCCGATGATGCCACCGGCCCATAATCCACACCAAACAGTGATTTTTTCGGAATGCATTGGTAGCTCTTGCAATGCTTCTGACTGGTCTTCACTCCAGATGCGGCAAGTTTGCTTGTAAACGTACCCATTCAACCAGAAATGAGCTTAGTCGCTAAACACAATTTTTCGATAAAAATGTGGATCTTCCTCCAACTTTGCCAGCACCCATTCACCAAATTGGAAACGTTGTGGGAGGTCGTGTGGCTTCAATTCTTGCACCAGCTGTATCTTATAAGGTTTTACACCCAAATCCTGTCGCAAAAGTGTCCACGTAGTGGAGTAACAGAGGCCCAATTGCTGCGAACGGCGGCGAATCGACATTTCACGGTCATCACTAACACTGGCGGATACAGCCGCAATATTTTCTTCAGTCCTCACTCTACGTCGGCGTGTTGGTGGTTTAATGTCCAATAATGTAAACAGGGTTCGAAATTTAGTCAAAAGCTTCCGAATAGCTCCCTCAGTAGGCCGACCAAATTGCCCATAAATTGGAAGCAGTGCTCGATGCACTCTCTTAACCGTGCATGAATTTTGATAGTAAAATTCAATAATTTGCAAGCCTTGTTCGTTCGTAAGTCAATTCATGGTTAAATTATAGACCAAACTGAACAAGTTTGACAATGACACAAGACACGATTCACGCGTCATCTGTCAAAAACAGTGTTGCCAAAAAGATACGAGCAAAAAATCACCCATTAGTTCTAAAGGAAACGTCTAGATTATACATCAACTGCAACCGATCAATGATAATTGCTAAAATCAATGCAACTGAGTATGATGCAAATTGTATCAGATCCAGATTTTCATTCAAAGAAACATTTAACAATCTTAAAACTAAATAATTTGTGACTAAGTACTGTGAAATAATTTCATTTATATGTTTACCAACAGCAATATGTACTAGTAATTTAGTAAATAGCAGATTAGCCCCACGAAAATAATGCGCCCTATAATACTAACTAGATTTTTCGAACGCGATGAAGCCATCTCGCCTCGACTTGGTTTTTGATTGTTATCATTTTCGTTTATGGATACACTTGATAGTCCGTCGGGGACCGTCGGTGCCGGCTCGTGTCCAATTGCGGTCGCCCAAGTCATTCTCCTTCCATAATTTTGAAGAAGATAATTGAAAATGGAATACCAACACTTATTTTAGATGATTTTAAAAAGGAATAAAAAAAAGTGGGTCGATATTTTAAATTTAGTTGATATATTGAAAACTCTTGGTTATGTGGTTGCAAGAAAAACAGATTGTATTGTTGGCCATGTCTTCTGTTTTCTACATAAAATGGGTAGACCAGCAACGATTTAAATAGTTTTAGGGTTCTAAAGAGGAGACATGAACTGTATCCTTTACGTGTGAGATGTTTAGCCAGTTTGATTCAGTTTGGCAAAATAAGAATCGAAAGTTGTCTTAACCAAGCTTTTAGGCAGCACACTTTTAGACGCTGTATGTTTTTTGGCCAAACAAGAATTACCATTTTGGGATAATTTTGAAGGGGATGACTCTGACACTAGAGGAAATTACTGGGAATTGTTAACATTAATTG